AACGTATACTTTAAGTATAAGGAGCTCATGGGCCTCTTACATTTATGCTGTTATGCATTTGCTGAAGCCAGACATGTATGTACATTGAACTTGATTAGATGTCCTCTGGATGGATAAACTGAAATGGATATTCTTGATAACATGCTAAATAGTCCTTACACAGATCCCAATAGGTTTTGAAAACAGTGAAAAGACCCAACTAGCTCAGGAAACTGAAATTTACTCCATTTTCTTGATTGGTGTAGGCTACCATATTGGATTATTTTAGAAACATGTTCCCAAAGTCAAAAGGAATCATACCAGTGGGTTCATGTACAGATGGTTAGGTTACTAACTTTTGAAATTTACTTTCTAAAGCCTAAATTAAACATTCCCATAGGCAAGAATGATGCAACCCAAGGGCCAGTTCTCCTAGATGAAAACAAGGATGGCCAGCTATAAACTAAGGGCTCCTCCAGGGCTTATCTCCTTACAGCTCTAAAATCCTGCTCCTGGGCGTTCCAGCCACACATAATTATAATGCTTGCCAACATTTTTTAACTCACGCACTGCCCTTCTTTCTTCAACATTCTGCAATAAGACAAGTACAATTGGACCTCTTGCTTTTCGAAGGCACTGGAGAATTCTCTAGTTACTGCACTGCTGTGACTCTTTTTTTTGTAAAAATGAATAATCACTACCTTTGTTTGCGTCCTGCTTTGTTCCAGAAAGGATGTGTGATAGCTGTAATCACTACCTAATTGATTTTTCTCACTCCCACGCTCCCCTCCTCTTCTTTATAAGCTAACGTCTTCATGCTGATTTTGTTTTAAATGAGGAACAACCATACACTCACATTTACCAAGACAATATCAGTCTCCCCAAAAGGGATGAAGCTTGATTGGTTCATTTAACAAACATTCATTGAGTTTCTGCAACTAGATGGCCACCTTTCCCACTTCGCCAAGCTGACAATCTAGTGGGGAGCAGAAACAAATAACCAGGCGATTACAAGTGAGTGAGGTAAATGCATGACCGAGAGATGGAGTTGCTTCGGGACACACAGAAGGGATACCTCCTCTAGACTTGGGAAATAAGAGAAGCTTCCTAGAAGTAAAGTTAGTTGAAAACTTGAGGAACTGTATGCCATTTGAAGGCCATGCAGACAGCAAAACCACCGGAACACCAGGTGGAGTCCATCCAAATAGTGTGTCCAAGTGAGAGTCAATGTCTCGATCCAGATGTGACAAGTGGTTATGATACCACTGACCCCATATAACCCACGGATTGGCCACAAGTCACCCTAAATGCTAGGTTCTATGACAGATTTCTAGTTGCTTTTATTTGTGAGGATATTCTGCTTTCTCCTGTCCTATTTCACAATCTTTACCAGCCTCCCAGCTACGTAGGATTTCAACTCAGCCCAGCAAGGGCCTCTGTGGGAGACAGCGTGATAAACATGGGACTTAGGGAAGGGAGGTACTGGGCCCCCATTGCAGGACCACATAACCACAGAAGCGTAGAACTGAGAAAAGCCATGTGACTATCCACTGACAGTTCCACTCCCCACAAACCTTGCAGGGGTGACCCAGCCCTATCAATCCTGTGTGTGAAACAAATAACCCCACTCTGAACTTACCTTAGGTTTGACACATTTTTCTGGGCCCTGTGTCTGTCATATTCTAAAGACAGCAGAATGGGGTCTTAATACCAACCATCGGAACCTTTTCCTCTGTCCACTTGGGTATTCTTCCCAAAATGGTGCATTTTCTGCTTCCATAAAATATTGATATTTTCTTAAGTCACTTCTACATATCTTGTCACTATATAACCACAATGCCGGGACCAAAGAAAAATAATAAGTTTGGACCATTTGCCCTTCTAAAAATCACTGGACATTCTATACGCTAACTGAATGGTTGGGTGAAATTAATTTTTAATGACTCCTCCAGCCCTGAGACTTTATGATGCTGACATAACTGGAGCCATTTTTCTTTGAGGGCTATAGCCCAGTAAAATTATCCGAGTCTAAGACGTTAATGTAAAGGGACAACTGGGTCAGTATGTTACAAATATTTGGTTTTTCAAAGTTGTCCAACATAACCTCATTGTCAGCAGGCAAAGCCGCAGCCGCATACATCAGTAAACCCAGCCTGGGCCATGCTGGCTTGTATATTTTACAACCAAAGATGGGGTGTTTCACTTCAAAAGATCAACTGAACGCAAAATTTAACAAACAAAACAGCATGCCCTAAGGATGTAGAATCACTTTGCTATCCTTTCCAAACCTGAATCTTTATGTTTTGAGGTCTGACAACTAGAAAATACCAAAATTGTACTCAGTCTTCGAAGCTTTTTGAACAAGTCTTACAGACATGTAATGAGAATTGTGCTCACCCTCAAGTGCTGCATAACCTCGTATGTGTCTTTGGTATGCCATACTTTACACATCCAAAACGAGAGCTTACCAATAAGATACACCTCTTCACAACAACTATCTCAATTTGTAGCTCAAGTTATCATTCAAAATGTCACTAAAAGATGGCCGCATCACTCAAGTCCTGCACCAGGTGCAATCAATGTCTAGGGCAAGTGCACCATAAGTATCCTGCCTCTTCTCATCCTCTTCCACTACTCTGGAAACAGCCTTAAGGTCCCAGGCAGTTCCTGATGGCAAGGAACTGAGTCTAGCCTCTACACTTCCTAGCTGTGTGATCCTGGCAAGCCACTTAACCTCTCTGGGCATTAGTTTCCTCATGCGGATAAAGAGATAATCGTGGTAGCACCTTCCCCATAAGGCTGTCATCACCTCAGTCTCTAGTTCACTCTAAAACTGGTTGCTTTGAAGTATTCTGAAAGGGTTACTGGAATGTAGGAAAACAAATCAGGAGAAGCCACCAAATCCTAAAGTGAAAGGTTTTGTAATTGCTATGGCTCAGTGGGTTGAGTCACATTTAATTAAGTCTGGAATTCCCAAGGACAAAAACAGACCTTCCCAACAGTACACCTAAGACAAAAAAAAACAAAAACAAAAACAAAAAAAACGAGCAGGATCGGAGTTGGAGAGTTCCTAAGACGCTGCTCTTGAGGACGGGGATGGTGGCAGCAAATCACACTGGGGTGAAACGGCAGGGAAGGTGCAGATCCCTCCACCAGCTAGAAGCCATCTTTTCACATTATCCTCCCTCTCTATATTTCCGCTCTACTGCTAAATCTTGGATGAACCAACTCTAAACTCTGTATAAATCTGAGAACAGTGGGGGGGGGGGGGAGTGGGGGGATAGAAGTGGTGCCCCGTGAACAGAACAGTCAGTGAGAATTGCTAAATAACTGTGAACATCTAAGCGAACCATAATTTGTGTGTTTGGGGCCTAGAGAGCCAACCCCTCCACTTCCCCATGACTTACTCATTCACTGCTATTGTGTTTGGCTAAAACCTAAAATTGTCACCCAAGCAACATCAGTTTCATTAGAAAGAGAAGAGCAACCTGGCATCAGAAAATGCAGCAACTCTTTGGAAGGCAGCTGATTCAGAACTTATGAATCATTTTGAAGTGCTCAGGAAGTCCAAGTCACATCAACACCACATTTAAATAAAATGCATATATATGCAACCACCAGAAACAAAGTGATGACTTGCCAGAGTTCTAGTTCTTCTTTCTCTATCAGGCCTTCTGGTGATGCACCTAATTTCAGAATCATATTCTGAGTAAGGGACCTACCGGTTCAGTGAAGACCTCAGGTCAGGCCGCACCAGCAGATGGGGCCTAACAATTTACTAACAGTTTACTCTATACTTTGGGACCTCGGCCCAAAGTGCAGAGCAGGGAAGACCTGAGTTGAACCAGCTCGGGAAGCTGAAGCCACGAAGGCCTGTGTCAGCAGGCTCGCAGGCCTGTGGCAGAGGAACCCATTGCTGCTGGCCATCCTGCCTTCAGTTCCAGGAGTCACCAGTCACATGCTGCCTCTGGTCTTCCTGGGAAGCCCTGGGCAGTTTTGTTTCCTGTCCTCCTTCATGCCCCACCTTTGAATGCGGCTTAAAGCACTCGGAATTTTCGGACGCCCAAAGCCGGTAAAGATCGGTGCACAATCCTCATCACCTGTGAAGCCTGAGGCTGGCTGGAGTACAGCCCAGGACCCACGCTCATCCCCTCTATCAGCCTGCCATGAGTTTCTTTCTCAAGGCTCCCTGGGTCACCTCTCACTGCCCTCTCTGAGGAGGACTCCTATCTCCGGATCAAGAATTTCCTTCGTTCTTCCACATGTTGGTGTTTGCTCAGGTAGTGATCTGGCCCCCAAGCTTTCCAGTGCCCACACTCCCCTTTCTTCGGGACGCCCCGAAGGATCCATTAGGTGATAACAAATAACCTCACCAGATCCCATCCCGTGGGAAAACATCTTGCCTATGGAGGCAGTGTCTCTCGCCACAGACCCAGCACTCCGGGAGCTCTCCGCATGAAGCCGTGGGTACTGAGCATGCATCTGCCTCCTCCCAGGCCATGGGCCGCAGAAAGGAGGGGACAGTGGGAAATGTGCCACCTCTCCCAGGAAGCAGATTTGGAATGGTCTGTCCCCTGAGCACTCTGGGTACTTCTGAAAAGTGCAGGAGTAGAACTGGGGCTGTCAGCATCGGTAGGGGGAGGACCAGGACAGAAAAGGGTGCCATCTGGGCAAAACTGCTGATGGCTCTTGTCTATCACAGTGCTGTTTTCAGGTCCTGTGACTCTGTGTCACCTTCTGCCCTTCCATCCCCACTCTATTAGCCAAATACCTCAAGATGTTTCTAAGAGGTTCTGAATTATTGACGAACCTAGGGGAAGATGCTTTAAAAAACATTAAGTACAAAAACAGACCTGTACAGCTAGTGCAAATACTGGGTCATTGGCAGTTTCCTTTTTAAAGCCAAAAGAGAAGCGGTGGAGGGGGGGGGGGAAGAGGCTGCCTCTGCTCAATAATAATGATATTCACAGAACAACACACACTGCAGCTCCGAAGTTCACAATCTCTCCAGCTTTACTCACCCCTAGCCATCTTGCTCCTTTATTGGCAGCCTGTTGAATCTGGACTCTTTTCAGGGTGACATGGTAAACAGCTCCTTCCTCTACCTCTTCACCCCAGTCCTGAATCGAGCTCTGCCAGGGGATGGGATAAAGAGAAAGAAAAAGAGTTTTTTTTTTTCCTCCTCTCTGCTAACCACAATCTATCCCAGCTGCTTTGCTGCTTTACCCCAGCACTCAGGGCACAAGATGGGCTGTTCAAAATAAATATTACAATCAGAGCAATACAAGACACACTGCGGTAACGGGGATGCTGAGATTTTCTTGGCCCCCAGCCCTTTCCTGTGGTATCAGAATCCCCGGACTTTTCCATTTAGTTATTTTTCCTAGACTTGCTCACGTATCTTAAATAGGTTTTTCTTTTTTTTAATCTTTTTTTTTCTTTCTTAGAAAAAAAGAACCTGTGGGTTAGTCCTGATGAACTTTTCCTCTTTAAGCGAAAGGAAAAATAATTCATTGGTAGAAAAAGTTTGTACTTTTGTAAGTGGCTCAGTTATTTGAGCAAAACTGCCTTTTAAACTCAGACACAAACAAGCATTTAAAATGCCAAGAGTCCTCAGTCCTTGGGAAGCCGAACGCTTCCCGTGTCTTTCCCTCCTCTTATTGTTTGGGGATCCTAAAAGTTAGCAGGGGGTGGAAAGTTTTGATTTCCATAAAATAATCCGCCAAGTGCAGAAAACTCCAGGAGAACGTGTGCGTGGACTCCCGGGATTTCCATGTCCCGGGCTAAACTTTGTGCTGCAGCCGCGGGGACAGCCGAACAAGTCCTTTTCCCTTAAAAGTTCTCCTTCCCTGACATACATCTGCCCCGGACACACCGCAGGGAATGGCTAAGAAGGTAGGTATCGCTGAAAGGCAGAAGACACGCAGCGAGGAAGGCATACAAAGCAGAGTGAGAAAGCTTTAGCTCACAAGTACGGGATCGGATTGCTCCGTTCACTCCGAGTGAGTCCAAAACACGCCCAGAGAAAGCGGGAGAAGATTCCCCAGCAGAGAAGCGTCGGGAGAAGGCAGAGTTCGCGTTACCATTTTAGCTTGCCAAAGCAATTTCATTCTCAGTGTTCCCTTCGGTACGGGGACGCGGCATGATGCGCCCTGCTCCCAGGCCAACGCGGTCTCTGCGGCGGGGCTCAGCCCGCGACGCCCCCGGCCCCCGGCCCGCACGGCCGCCGCGCTCGCAGCACAGACACGCGCCGCGCTGCCCCCGCCGCCGCCGCCGGTGCGCGCGACTCGGGCCACAAAGGGAGCGCAGCGAGCGAGCGGCGAGCGAGGGCGCCGCAGACTCCTCCCCACGCCACTCCGTGATGTCAGGCTTTCCTGTTTGTGCTTGGGAGCGCACTCTCCCTTTCTCAAGTCCCATGGATGGATCCAGTTAGCGTGAAATAATGTCTCCAGCTCCGGAGGTGATCGGGGAAACCACCCTTTCAAGTTGATCAGGTTTTCCTGATGGTCACCAGGTGCCAAAAAAATGAATCGGATGTGGTATGGAGGTTAGAAGTGCATGTCTTCTTCCTTCGCTAAAAGAAAGGGGCAGCGGGATACGCGGGAGTGCGAAAAGGATCGGAGGGAAGGGTCAGAAAAAAACGTCTATTATCTGCCTGTTATTTACTGAATTTTTATTAAATCAGAGCGACTCCAATAAGAGTAGCAATCCTAGAAGCCAGGAAGTTTTTCATTAGGACAGAAAAGAATTGCTCAGAGGGTATTCCAGAGCCCATGCCCAGGGTCTGTACCCTTCCGGGCATCAGCACACTACCAACAGTCCACCGGACTCCTTTCTACCACCCATTAGGATAAGGCTCTTCCAACAGTAACCCGCCATTGTGGAAGGGCAGCGGGCAAAGCAGCAAAGGGCTTTGGCTGGGAAGGACTGACAGCTTGGGAAGTGGGTGGTCAGTGGCCCTGGAGGGTCTGAATCTTTGTGAGGTGTCACCATCTCCAGTTGTCTGTACTGTAGGGACACAGCAGGATAATAACCATAGGGACAAGCCATTCATGAGGAAACTGCCAGAGGGAGTTTTGTCAGAACAGAAAGATCTGCTGTCAGGACAAAAGATTATAACCATTTTTAGATCCAGTTTTAATAAATCAACAGCAAGATACCAGATGATACTATAATCAAACTTTGGCACGTGACAGAATTCCATGCCAATGACAGAACCTGTAGGGCTCGTGTCTTTTATACTATTCACCCCTAAATGAATTCAATAGCCTTTCTTTTTTTTTTTTAAAGTCCTCTCACTAATTGCCCGGTTAAGGCATAAGGCAGGTTGTGGTTGATAATAAATATATCATGAGCTGAAAAGCTAGAGAATCAAGTGTGCAGATGTTCCCAGGAGGGCAGAAGAGATGGCACTGAGAGAGCATCAAGGAAAAACAAAAGGATCGTTGGACACTTGAGAACATCTTGAAGCCACTCAGCCATGTTCTCCACACACAGCTGGAACCTGCGGGGCTCAGTAACTGTGGAGACAGGGAGGCTAGATCCTTCTGTGACCCCAGGACAGTGTCCCCAGCGTCCAGAGGAAAATCGCGTGGAAACCGTACCCCCGCCACCCCTGCTCCTGAAGCCACCCTCAGGCCCCCAGGCCACCCGTCAGGGATCGGGAAGACGACAAAATACACCAGAGGGCAGTTCAGCAGCCCATACGATTCATTCCACCACAACTGGAACCTAATTTTTGGCTGTAAATTTGGAGATTACTCAAAATTTTCCACTTCAGGGATCTCAAGCAGTTTGTTTGGCCTCGCCTCTCCCAGGAGGCCTTCCTGGACAGGGCAGCTTATAATTCATAAGGCCCCACTCAGGTTTCAGATCTCAGCACCCTTCTCTCTGTCCCACCAAGTCCCTGGCTGGCCACCTGGCATGGAAAGGGAAAAGAACAGGCTTTGGGCAGATCTGGCTTCAAATCCTTGTGTATATGGAGTGAGCTTGGGCGCCGCTTCCCTGAGCTTTCATTTCCTCATCTGCAAAATGGGACAAACATCTACCACACAGAGTCTGAAAAGGGATTACGTGAGACGAAATGGCAAATGATTAAAAACAGTTCCATTCCCTTATTATTGCACTTCCCCCAAAACTGTATTTTCCCAGACTCACTGAAAAGTTGTGTATGTATGCCGTGTGGGAAAATCTCAAATGATGTCTTCTCACTGAATTACATTATAATTTCAGAGAGCTTGTCCAAGAATAACTACTTCCATTCATACCTGATAATATAGGTGATTTGTCCAAATGCTGATCCAAAAAAAGGGGCTGGTTTTATGCTAGATAGAGCAATCAAGTGTTGCAGTTTATAATTTTTTTAAATACTTATTTAAAAATATTTCTCCTGTAGGAACTCAGTCCTACACATTATTACACATACCTTAGAGTTAAAATACTCCTGGTCAATATGTGGGAAGGATAAACCAATCAGCCATTTATAACTAAATTTGAATTTATTTACTAGATTAGCCTACCCATGACCTAGTATGGTCCTAGGAGAACAGGTCAAGTTTTGTTAAAAGGAGATCAGTAACGTTTTAGATACAAGTTATATACAAGTCTTTGATCTCCTGGCTAAGTTTATTACTAAGTATTTTATTGTTTTTGAGGCTATTATAAATGGGATTGTTTTTGGATTACTCATTGTTAGTGTATTGAAATGCAACTGATTTTTATATATTAATTTTGTATCCTACAACTTTACTAAATTCATTTATTAGTTCTAACAGGTGTTTTTTTTTCAGGGAGGGGGGTGAGGAACACAAAAATATGGAAAGACATCCCGTGTTCATGGATTGGAAGACTTAATATTGTTAAAATGTCCACACTACCCAAAGCAATCTATAGATTCAATGCAATCCCTATAAAATTCCAATAGCATTTTTTACAGAAATAGAAAACAATCCTAAAATTCATATGGAACCACCACAGAGGACACTGCATAGTCAAAGCAACCTTGATAAAGAAGAAAAAAGCTGGAGGTCTCATACATTCTGATTTCAAAACATATTACAAAGCTACAGTAATCAAAACAGTATGGAACTGGCATATAGACTAGTGGAATCTAATAGAGAGCTTAAAAATAAACCCACCCATATACAGTCAACTGATCTTTGACAAAGCGGCCAGGAATACACAATGGGGAAAGGGTAGGGTCTTCAAAAAATGGTGCTGGGAAAACTTGGATATGCACATGCAAAAGAAGGAAATTGGCTACTTATCTTACACCATACACAAAAAGTAATTCAAAATGGGTTGAAGACTTAAACATACAACCTGAAACCGTAAAACTCCTAGAAAAATACACAGGGAAAAAGACTCATAACATTGGTCTTCACAATGATCTCATGGATATAACACCAGAAGCATAGGCAACAAAAACAAAAATAGACAAGCAAGAAAACTACATCAAACAAAAAAGCTTCTGCACAGCCAAGGAAACAGTCAACAGAGTGAAATGGCAACCTGGGGAATAAAAATATTTGCAAACAACAAATCTGATAAGGAGTTAATATCCATTATAGATAAGGAACTCCTACAACTCAATAGCAAATAATAATAATAATATAATAACAATAATAATAATAATAACAACTGAATTTTAAAATGGGCAAAGGACTTGAATAAACATTTCTCTAAAGAAAACATACAAATGACCCACAGGTACATGAAAAGGTGCTCAACATGACTAATCATCGGGGAAATGCAAATCAAAACACAGTGACATATCACCTCACATTTGTTAGGATTAAAAAAAAAAAAGTTGGCAAGGATGTGGTGAAAAAGGAACCTTTGTATACTGTTGGTGACAATGTAAATTGGTGCAGCCACTATGGAAAACAGTATGGAGGTTCCTCAATAAGTTCAGAATAGAACATATGATCCAGCAATCCCACTTCTGGGTAAATATCCAAAAGAATTAAAATCAGGATCTCAAAGAGGTCTAAGTGCTCCCATGTTCTTTACAGCACTATTCATAATAGCCAAGATGTGGAAACAACCTAACTGCCCACGAATGGATGAATGGATACAGAAAATGTGGTAGATACATACAATGGAATATTATTCAGCCTTAAAAACAAATACT